CTTTGGTGGGGTGTCTTGGTCTCCGGCACCCGATTGAATCACAAAAGTGGGGTGTCTTGGTCTCCGGCACCCGATTTGGCTGCCCTCCCCCGTTGGGACAGAAACACCCGAGTTTTCGGTCCTGCAGCTGCCACGCTGGCCCAATCCCCATGCAGCCGCCCGGATATAAACAGTTCTCATGTCCATGCCCATATAGTTTTTTCAATGCAACGAAGAAACAGGAGTTACGGACCACTGCACCACAGGTTACTATAGAGATACCACACGAACCTGCAAACATCTGCAAACAGGACAATGGCGAGGATCTTTTGGGAAACACAGTGCGATGATGTGCGATGTGTTTTTGTCCTGGCAATCCTTTTTGAACACCGTTGTTTTCTTCAGTGTTCGCCACCTGGCTCTTATGACCCCAGACCGAATGGTCTGGGATTCGATCCGCCTCTCTTCGGTGCTCCTGTCCTGTCATGAGATGCACGCTGATCCTCCGAGCCGCTCGTCGTCCCGTTTGCGCGTGAGGGTGTTCGTGTTAGCAACGGGTTTTTTGGGAATGTTTTGGGGTGATGTTTGCCCCTTCCCAATTTCATGGCATGGGGGACATCTTCATGATCCTTCACAAAAAGTGACGTTGTCCCATTGTTGCTTGGCTACCTTGGCTCTTGGTCTGAAGACTTCGTCAGTACTCCTTTTTCCTTTGCCAATACACCCAGACCCACATGGATTTCGTGTTGTTTTGTTGTTTCGGTTTTGGTGAGATCATCAGGGGATCATTGGGATCCGGGATCACTGGGATCACTCAGAAAAATAACAAAACACACGGGGTGATCAGCACGGGGAAACCACGCGAAGTCGCCGAGGCGTTGGAGGTCGCGCCATGGGCAAAGGAGATGGGTGTTAACATGGGAGAAGCGCGAAGTCGCTGCTTTTCGGGAGCAGATTTGGAGATGTTGTTTGCTTGGGCAGATTCTGGCGGATTCCGGTCCTTTGCGCTCTTTGCGGGTGTTTTCTTTGGTAGACATCACACTGGAAACATCACCTGAGCTGGCCAGGAGTCGGTGGAAGCAGTCGGTGGCTCAAGTGTGGGAGAGGCCATGAACGGTAGGATTCGGGCCTTGTAGAATTGTGGCAATTTTTTTTTGCGGTCATCTAGGGCCAATGTTAGGTTGCGCCTCAAGAAGTGTGAGTGGGAGAGCAGAGATAGAGGTAGAGATGTAGAGGGAGAGAAATAGAGAAAAAGAGAGAGAGAGGGAGAGAGAGAGAGAGAGGAGAGATCCATTTTTTCAGCAAACTAGTAGACTAGTTGTTGCTAGGATGTGCCCCAATGAACTTCAAGACGCTTGTGTGGTTGCGTGTTGTGATTCATCAGTGGTCAAATGTGGTTTCCCTGAGCCAAGCATTTGATGAAGGAACTGCCAGAGACAAACCATTCGGGGCAGACTCCCAGGCCCTGGGAGACTCCCGGGCCCTGGCTCGGTAGACTGGTCGATTTCTGTTCCAGGGGATCGGGACGCCTGGGAGGTCTGGCAGCCTGGGAGGTCTCCCTAATCGGATTTTTGCTTAGACCTTCACCGTCCAGCCTTTTGGGGTGACTCAGGCGGATCTCAATGCCATTCAAATTTGCCGGTCCAATGCCAATCATTCTTTCATGTGGGCTTACTCTTACTCAGTTTACTCTAAAAAGAACTCGGTGAGAACTGTGAAGGTTTGTGAAGATTATGTTTGAACCGCCTGGCCCCCGAGCCACCGCATTCCTTTCCCAAGCAGCCAGTGATAACCTGTGAGATCCACATTCAGAACTCTGAAGACCATAGTGTAATCATGTTTAATCATGTTAAGATATGTTAAGCATCGTTAAGCTATATTGTAATTTGGGAGTGCCATCATCTCCAAATTGAGTCAATTGAGTGACGTGGTTTGGGACCCCTAGTACAAGGAAATTGATTTGGTCTAGTCAGACCCACACACCCACTCTTTCCCCTCACCTACTTCAGCTCGGTTTGTCCCCTTAGAAGATATTTTTGGGAAGTCGTCCTGATTTTGGTTCGCTGAGGTTCACCCATTGGATCTCAGCCTACAGCAGCTGGCTCGACAGGATGTGATGGGGTTCGTCAAAGATTTTGTGAATCTACTTGTGTAATCCTGCAGTGGGGCATGCCGTGATGTTGTGAGATTTCTCAAGCAAAAGACATGAAAACACATAATACCTGCAGAGTCCACATGGAACCCCAGAACCACTGGGTTGGTCTTCGGAAAATGCTCGAAACCACCGGTTTTCCTTCTCAGGGTCCATGGGGCCGGGGGGTGAGCCTTGCGTGCCAGGCCGGCCTGGCAGCGGCCGAGAACGTCCGAGATCCCTTCCTGTGGCACGGTGCCAGGAGCCCAGGTGAGGCATGTCCGCGAAGTTTCTCGCCGTGTGGGGCGGGGTGGCATGATGTGGCATGGAGGTGGCGGGTGAGAGGAGCAGATGACCCGAAGCAACGTGCTGCAGGGGTGAGGGATGGGGAGGGTCTACATGGGTCGACTGTGCGATTCCCCAAACGTCGGAATGGAGCATCCTGGGGCTTACAGCTACTACAGAGCATGGAGGTCGATATTTGGGACATATCATTTGAGCACATGTTTGAAAGATATGATGTCTTTCGAGCCCCAAAAGTAGTTCTACAACATAAAAGCCAGGCAAACACGCATCCACTGAAATTCAGACTTCTTCACTTACTCCCACCCTTCACTGACTTCCTTTGCAGCGGAGTCTTTGCTGCCACCGAGATCCGCCTGCGAGCGCGCAGCGCTGCTCCGGTGCTGAACCTGCGAGAAGTCGCTGTCGCTCGGAGATCTGATGGGATGAACGCGCCCACCCAAGTCGCGTCCAAAACCACCCAAATAGGTCAACCCAACCGGCACCCCGTGCCCCTCGGAGTGGAACCGTACAGTGGTTTCAGAGGTTCACTGGCACCCCAAGACGACCTGGATGGGGGTCATTATCACCACCCAGCATTGGGGTAACTTCTGCCATCTCCTCTCAATCTACTGGTACTTGGGAATTGGTGGTTTCAAGAATTTCAAAGCCTTTGTGTTTCATTCAAGCTTCGAACCACTGATCCTACTGTTCGGGTGGGCTAAAACAAACGCCCCATGTTTGCTGTAGAGCTGTGGGGAATCATAGGCATCGCTGGCTTCTTGAAAAGGCGCCATAAGAGCTGCAGGGAAATAGAGTCACTCTTTGAAACAAAAGCAAACAGGCTGACTGGTTGACCAAAGAAAAGCACATATATTATGTGACCAAACATACATATTCTGACAAATATACAGTCCGGATTTAACAGAACAGAACAGAACCCAGTCACATACCTCCTTGTTTGTCGCAGCTTCGCAGCTTCCTCCGGTGCGCTTCTGGCGCGCGCTCCACCGGTGGCTGCCGTCCGCCGCTTCACTCGGTCTCGTTCACCGGTGACCGAGGTCTTTCTGGGCAGCAGCGTGAAAGTGGGTTTGGTGGATGAACCTTTTGTGGCAGCCATGAGTGGCGAACTCAGAGGGCCGAGAGCGACCGACACATCCAGCTAGCTAGACTGACTTGACATCCAGTGTGAGAAACAGCCACTTGAATGATCTGTTTATATAATGTCTATGTGTTTAGAATGAAAGCAATGACATGGATCTTTTGGTTGCGTTAAAATGTGTTTATGCACATGTACATATATATATATAGTTTTTTTGCCATGGGCGTGGAACATGACAAATGTATGTTGCTATATGTTGCTGCTCTTCCAACTGTCAATCTCCTCTATGTTGTGTCTACGAGTTCACAAATTTGGTTATACTGATTTCATAAAAATCTGATAGTCAAATCAGTTAAGAAAACAACAACAAACTGAACTTGGCTGAGAGTGTCAGATATCAATATCTCAACACTATATAGACGTTAAAGCACTCTAGACAGAGCAAACAAACACTGGTGATGTGCATGTTTTGTCATTACGAATTGTTATGTGAAAATTACTTAATGTTATTGATTTAGTTTGTTATAGTTTTCGATATTTATTTGGTGGCGTCCACTGCTGACCATTGGCTGTGGCGTTTCACTGCGAGACTGTCTCGACCGCGTCGCACTATAGTTTTCGATATGTTGGTGACAAATGGAAGGACACCAGTGATTGTTATGTGATAACCATCGATTCTGGGGACAGTTCGTGGGAGCGGCTCCTCTTCTGGATGATGGCAGATGCTGGATCAAACCAAGCGTCTTTGTATGTCTTTGTTATGATTTACACTTGCCAAGTAGTCAGCCACTTGGTACATGTCAAAGTGGTTTAACTGGCTTTTGCTAAGGGCTTCTAGCTTATATACCAGTTGCTTTCATTGGTGTTCACGCGTGTGTGTCATTGTGTGTCCTCTTGGCACCATGCTCCGTTCTCCGCGGGAGGTTCCGCCGAATCTGGATCGCCCCGCGGTCCCCCCCCGGAGCAGCTTGAAGATGGCATGCATCCACAGACGGGTTCATGCACGAAGCTCCGCGGCATTCCGGTTGTCCCTCTCCAGTTCCGGGCTCCAAAGGGGCTCACGGACGTGACAAAGCCTGAAGACCAACACCTCGAGCCTGAAGAAAGACTGAGGTGGTCGCTTGGACACCTTGATCCGCTGGGGGAAGACCAACACCTCGTGGGGATGCTTAGCGGTGTCTTTTTTTGGTCGGCCGGAGGCGATCCTGTTGGTGTTGGTTGGCGCCGGGACTTCTTAGCCTTGAAGTGATGCCCTTGAGGTTATGAATAAAATCATTTTGTTTGTACCCAAGTCAATATCTCAATGGGATGTTCCCTTCCTTGATAAGATCCATGAAGTCACACGAATGGTTGTTTGATGTTGTTTGTCATCGTGTTTTATTGCGGTTTCGGTGAACCCAGTTTAAGAGAAGCCCATGTCGACTGTGGCACTTGGTGCTTGCCTTTGTGCTGCGATTTTCAGGGTGTCGGACCGACATGCAGACCGTGTCGGCTCAAATCAACAGGCACCGACCTCCGATTCTCAGGCCATCCATGTTTCTTGGGCGCTGGGCGATGCGCCATTTCTTGGTGATCCTGCTTGGTGATGCTGCAATGGCAGCCTTAGACAGATGTAAGGCAGGCATGTGCTCGTATGGAAATGACACATGTACCTGGACCTTCAAGGGGTGTCCAATGGAGGTCCCTTAGTGGTGTAGGGGCTTCCATTGGTGACCCCTTTGAAGGTGCTGGTAGGTAGATTGTTGGATGATGTTGGATGTGATCAGATCAGTTGTGATCATGGCTGTGACTTTCTTTGAAAAAAGCCGTGGTGTACGGAGAACCGTCCATGCACTTCGCACTGGACCGCGTCGAGCTCGACGTTTCGTTCAGGGCGACCTGGCCGGAGACAAGATTTGGATGTGTCCAGATGTGGATGTGAGGCTACATGGAATGCATGTTTCATGCATTGGCTGCATTGGGGTGCTGTTTTGTTTTTTACTTTTTTTCAGTTTTGTTTGTACATATATACGCGGCTGATCGCACGTCGATGGCCATTCGCTCTTGCGGTGCGGGTGTTTGTTTGTCGAATCTGATAAATAAGGGTGATGGTGATGATGTTCCGGGCTCCAAGTTGAATCCCCAAACCTGGGGTGTGTGGTAGTATTGTTTAATGAATGTGGTGGAATGTCTTTGCATTTCCTGGACATCCAAGCCGCCTGCCGTGACCTTGTTGGGAGCGACCGGTCAACGTGACCCCAACTGGTCCAACCAGACCCATTGGTCCAACTGGTTTGGGCGGTTGGGCCGAAGGGTGGCCCCAAGGAGTTCATCCAGGTGGGAAAAAAGGATGAAAACGGAAGGATGGGTTGGAGGCCATCGCTAATAGGTTGGAGGCCATCGCTAGTAGGTTCCTTAAAGTATGTATTCTTTTCAGGGTTGGGTGATTCACGTTGCAACCCACATTGCAGGGTGGCCTTCATCACGGAAGGATGGATGAACTCTTGCATCCGTGATGGTATTAATAGATCCTCTCAGGTGGCCCAAATTGATCATTAGAGCTACACTAGTATGAAATATTCATGGAAGTGGAGTTCACCACGTGTTTGTAGCGGATTTTAGGGTAATTTAAGGGGCCATGCCATCCACTTCCATGATGATCCAGGGAGTGTATGTCCTTTGTCCGCTCTCCAATAATCATTAAAATGGAAGACTATTTGTTGCAGATAGAGTCTGAATATTATACAGTAGAGGAAGCGAGTCTTCCAACAAATCATTTTCCACTTCCATGATTAATGAATAGAAGGTTTGTGTGGACACAAGCAGTTTTGTTTTTTGTTTTACCAGCATGTTGATTGGTGCACGGCGTGGTTTACCAGTATGTTGAACATAGGGGGGTGTCACGCACCAAGTGTTTGTCCCTGGAAATCCTATCTCCTGAGGAAACGGTTCTTGGATATCCAATAACATTCACATGTGGCAAGAGCTTAAGACGCAGGTGAACCGTTGGTGAATAGCTTCATTTTTCCTCTCGAAGTTCCTGAAGATCAATCCTAGGACTATGAGCAGCACGAACGGTCCGGATACTGTGGCCACCGAAGCCAAGCGACTCGTGACTCGCTCGTGCTTCTTGCTCAGGCAATGCTCCGTGAGCTATGCTCGAACTGGCTTCACCCCACAGTACATTCAATGCAACCTGGCCTCAGAAATCCCTGCTGTGTTCCAACACATGAAAATGATGAAAGAGAAGTTTTGCCACGGCCATGCAGTGGAAGTCCTTTGAATCCAAAGCCACACACATGGGGCTACTATAGTATCTAGAAGAATAGGAACCGCCCAAATACAACAAACATGTGGAGAGGCCATTCCAGGTGTTTGTCAGTCTTTGGCTTAGTTCAACTATGCGTCCCCACCAGTCATGCCGTCTCAAGGTGCTGGTCCCGTCTCGGTGGTCGCCGTATCATTAAAAACTGTCGCTGGAAAGTCCTGTGTGGCCTTTGGACCATTATGTGAACCTCGCACTCCTCGTTGATCGTCCACTCCGCTCCTGGGTTCCGTGGGTTCCCGCAACCCGTGGGTGTCCCGAGTCTCTCGCCTCGCGGAGAGCGGTGCAGAGGTGCTGCAAGTGGCCGTCTCGCCGGTGGAAAAAGAAGAACCACCTGCACGAACGAACACCTGCACGGACGACACCGGGGCGCAAGGATGTTCAGAAAGGAAGTGAAATCAGACTCATGAAGCGTCCCCATAAGATAGGGTGTAGGCAGCCCAGGAGATTAGAACCCCAATGCAGAAGTATCCAGAAGTACTTACCTCATGTTACCTCAAAATAATGAAGCTTGGTAGATGGCCCATGATGGCCACATGGAAGCTCATCAGATTGCCTCCTCAAAAACGACTCAATACGAATGATTGACACTTCAAAGATACGGAGGATATATCTTACTGATTAACAATTCTTCTTTGCAGAGGAAGATGATGATCTTGTGTAAGTCACAAACATTCTTGAGATTTCTTCACGTCAGGACCCAGGCAACATGGCCCCTCCAAAACCTGTATTTGTTGGGGTCAAAAGGATTGTTCCGATGTTTTTCCCCATGTTTCCCATGAACGTTCCCATGTTTTCCCACTCAATAAGAAGCAGTGCAAAACGTTTGAACTGTTATTTTTCCAGGGACATGGCTCGCTTGGGGGCGACATGGCTCGCATGGCGCGGCCGCCTCCCAGGCGCTCGACGAATGCCGCCCTGAGCTGAGACCGTTTGGGGCGTGGTGCGTCGGTGTTTTCATCCTGAGGTCTGACCAGCGTTCAGCGTTCTTTGATATGTTCAATTAATATGAAGTATATAAATTATATAGTTATTTTCAAGTATATTATGTCTATAAGGAGTTATAATGTTACTGATATCGATATGTTCAATTCATTCATGTATATTGGTGTCCGTCGCGATCTATGGCGTCTCGTGGCCGTGTTCGGTGTCAATGGTGTGATGTCAACGTGTATGGGACGCCATGTGTTGTGGCCGCATGTTTTGTGTGCGGCACCCCTTCATGGACCATGAAAAGAAGGATTCAGAGTCCATACTCAGCTGTACTTCAACGGATCCGCTGTACTTCAACCTTCAGGACTTGATCATTTGCTGCAATGCTCTTCTTCGTGTGGGCTGGAAGTCCCCCATCTATGAGGACCCACGCTACTGCTCGACCGACCGGCGGACACCCCAAAATGACCCGCTCGAACCGCGTTGCTCCTACCCAGGTGAGGGGCGGTTTATATGTTTTTGCTTTATACACGGTGTATAAGATTTTTATACTAATTATATAAGTCACAAATATATATATATATATATATTCACATATATATATATATATACAGTACATAGATACTTATATATATAATCTGTTTGTGTATAATATATATATATATATTATAATTCTTATATATATATATACACTTAAAAGCAACATGACACTTCGATTTGAGACAAGAGTTCTGGATTTTCCAAAGGATGATGCATCGGAGGGTCCCAGGCTGTGTGTCCTGTTGGCCCATAAGTGTAGTCGCCATGTGACACATGGCAGTGGGTTGAAACCGAACCATTCCGGTTGGTTGGGGAAACCGGGGCAGGATGTTGCCATGAGGTACTCACAGCTGCGATGGTTCGGGTCGGACGGTCCACAGGAGATCCTTCGCACTGTGGCCGGACGTGTGAGCGAGCTGAAGGCCTTTGAGGCGAAAAGCGCGTTGACCGAGCCGTTTCGACGTTTGGGACGACGGACGGACATGGGGTGTTTCTGAGAAGCTATACTGTATTGGTGCCCATTTTTTGTGGGTACACAGAAGGGTTCAACATGTTCATGGTTGATTCTCCAGGTTTCTATATTTATAGAATACATATAATTTTATCATATAATTGACTTTGATGTGTCCCTTTACCAATAGCCCGGGAGGGGTGCCCATTTCTGGGCTGTACCCAACTACTGTGATTGGATGCATGAAGACTAACTTCAATTGACATGGAACGCCTCTTACACAAATTTGTGCTCAAGAGTATGCAAGAAGAAGAGCTGTTTGGATGTGGAGCAGGCTAGGATTGCAGAACAATGGATAGCCTGATTGCTCGATCTCCCCACTGGTGAAGCTGAGACGTACGGGAAGAAGAGCAGCATTGGAGACCACTCAGACGTACAGAGACCATGAACAGTTACACTCCCGAAAACTAACATGGAACCTGAACATGGACCTTTGGAAGACTATTGTCCTCGACAACCCAGTGGTTTTAAGGTTCCATGTAGGTTTTTGCCGGGTGTAGGTATGCTAGATGACCACGCCAGGATTTTTGTTTCATGACGACGCTCTTATCCTCAGATGGCGGTTAGAACATGCTACTAAGATCTACTAACAATCTTCTCAGGAGGTAGTTAGAGGTGTAGGGTCTTACAAACGACCGGTTCTTGAGTTAAGACATATTTGTCGTTTTGCAACTTTTTTTTGCATTTTCAGACAACACAGATGTGCCTCAGAGCTGCCTCTGTGCTTTGTGGGCCGCAAAGCTTCATCTCAAGCATCTTGGAGCAGCCTTTTACTTTTTGAGCATGTACTCGTACTGTATGGTTCTATGGGGTGTAGCCCATTACCGGAAACTGTACTGTTACCGGAAGAAGATTCTCACTAGTTTTGGGAATGGCCTTTACTATATAACCATCATCATCAGATATACCAATATTTTACACACCAATATTGTGAATCATGCAACTTTCTTTTGTTTTGGAAGCTTGAAATGTCAGCCTCCACAAGGGGAGTTACTCAGCACTGGTGCAGGTCCCGGTCAGGACTCCAATAACACCACAGACCACTGGAAGTTTGAGTGGAAGTGTCCTGCGTTGCAGCTGCTGTCAGCTGTTGCCGTCAGCAGTGTTGTGCCGAAAGAATTGAAGAACAAGCACTTCAGGTCTTTGACAGAGATGCAAAATGCAAACACCTGGAACCCCCCCCTTTAGAGAAACCTTTGTTTTGCGGATCAGGTGATGTTAATTGACATCCCCTTATATAATGGCAAATTAGGGTCTTCCCAGTTGGACCCAAATCCCAGAAAGGTGGGGCCAGAGATGCCAGAACCGAAGAGAAACGCACATGCCCCGTCCGAGTGTTGGGAGCGCGGTTTGCACGGAGCTTCAAACAGTTTCCTCGGAACCACCTCTTTCGGATCGGCCTCAGTCGACGTGATTGAACATGTTGGATTCTGGTTGTTTTTTCCCCACCTGCCAGGTGAGGGTTGTTAGATTTTATGTTAGCTGACTTCTCCTTCTCCTCCTCCTCCTCCTCCTTCTTCTCCTCCTCGCCGGACCTCAACCACGACCATCCACGCCCAGTGTTCCCTGCCGGACCTCAACCACGACCATCCACGCCCAGTGTTCCCTGCCGGACCCCAACGCCCCTGTCAAAAGCCATGCCAGATAGAATGTCAAGAGCTATGCCAGCTAGAATGTCAGAAACCCTGCGTGATGGTGAGTCATTCAAACATGCATGAATATATGGAACAAAGAGTGTCAGAAGAAGGTTAGAAAGAATGTCAGACAAGTATGTGATATACTAGGTGCAAACTCTGATATGTGTCTAGGACAGTAGCGGGGCAATGTCAGTTTTCATTTTGTGGGCGTTGCGAAGCTTCAGACAAAAGTGGAGTCAACAAGCTGTTTTGAAATGTCATGGTGGGGATCACTCGATTTAAAGTAATTTTTGTTTTTGTTTCATATCATATGTGCTTAGACTCTGAGAAAGTACAACTGTCCTACAAGAATCTATTAAACGTATTTGCCTGCTGTAGACTTTCAGAAAGTACACTGATTCAGCCAAGGCATTGGCCGAAGACATGGGCTACTGCCGTTTCTCCCGTCAAGGAGTGTTTATTTTGGAGCGTTGCTTTCAGCGGGAGCAGAGCAGAGTGGCGGCTTCGGCTGAAAAGAATCCACCAGCTTTGTGGTAAAGTGTACGGATGTCGGGTATGTGGTGAGGTTTGTATATAGAGGATCACAGATCCACACATATATAATATATATATAATATATCACAAACTCATTCAGTCACGTGTTACATGGGTCGTGTTGCACAAACAAGAACCTCCCACGGGTCGTATTTTCCATGGGGACAGAGTCCCTGTCCAGGTGTTGATGCCTATGGTCCATGTGGCGAACAAAGAGTTCTTCACCTCAACCTTGCGTAGCCACCTGGATTGGAATCGGTATGAGCTCGGATGAGCACGTCATGCCTTTGTCCCCATTTGATCAGATGCTTTCTCATTGCCCCCACCGAACGATGCTGTATACCACCGAACGGCCCTTCTCTCACTAAGGCGAACGGTTTCACCACTTCGACGCGTATACCATGAGGGTCATGTTGGATGCTCGGCAGCTTGGTATGAAAGCGACGTTTCGGGCCCCAGGGACGGTCGAAACACACCTGTTGCGCGCCCGCCGAGGCCAAAACCAGATGAAATCAGTCAAAAGGAAGGATATTGTGCACCAGGAATGACCAGAAATCAAGAGATTGATCAATGAATCAATGAAGGATTTGTTCCTGATTTTTCGCTATGCCTGTCAATGTCCCCTGCAAGTTGTCTTTTCTCATAGAGTGTGCCAGGATTTGTGCAAGGGTTGGCCTACTCGGTGGACCGAGAAGCGAAGACAAAGGATCTGGTTTGAACATATACTGTAATTATGTTTCACGGCAAATTGAACGTTCCATGGTCATTGAACAATTCTTTTGTGAGTCGACGAGCTTTGACACAAAACTGAACATCGTAAAGTTTTTCTCTCAAATAAACGGTGCGTAGTCCTGATACAGATACCCTTTTTGCACAAACAGTTCAAGATGCATGTTTTCCCTTCTCCAACTGTTTGGGGCTGATGCAATTCGAGACTGTTTTTGCTCTTTTGTCATAGCAAACAATCGTGTTAGGTGCAGTCTCACGTTTTTTTAATCCGTTGAGGGTAGTGTCCTCAACGCCCCGTTCGCAAACCGATGAGGATGATGTGGATTTTCCACATTGGCGATTCACTCCATCACTGAGAGAGGCATCTCCAATGGCAGCTGCATTGGAGATGCCAATTGGCCAATCCAACAGTGTTGGGCGGACAGGTTTGGTGGATCATGGGGCACAGATGATAGGGACATCAGCTTCATACCACCATTTGATGATGGATCCCCCCATCAATGATGACAGGCTTAGCCATCGTAGGAGAGCTCACTTTGCCATGGTTGATGGATGGTGAGACGCTTCGCACCCTTGGGCTGGGTCGCGAGTCTGGCGCGAGAGAGATCACAACTTTTCAAGATCTATATAGACAAATCTTGGGGAATGCATCATGCATCACTATGAACATATAATGATTATGCATTGTGTAGCATGGAGATTGGCAATGTTCAGCTTTTCAGGCCAGTGCAGAGGTTGTTTGATTGCATCGTGGGCATGGATGGTTTCTTTTGATGTTCGCCTAGGTGTTGGGTGGTTTGGTTTCGACCCCCACTGGCGACGAACAATGCGCTGTGTCGGAGACTGGGCTGGCCAGAGCTTGTTCTGCAGCCTGAGCCTTTGCGCCTAGTCCATTACCAGTGCTTTTTGGTAGTTTTCAGAGTTGGTTAGACTATACAGTGTCGCAGATTGAATCATGCAACCCATGTTTAGCATTGCCTGGTTTGAAAGGTTGAAATACGCTTGTTTAATTACATAATTTCTGGACTAAAACAAAAAGGCTATGATCTCACTGTTTTCCTTAGCCTTCTCCAATCAATAATTTCGGCACACACACACACACACTTGTACTCGAAGCCAACTTGGGCTGGGTTGTCAGCAGTTGAGGCGTTTCAGTGTCCTTTTTGAGAGGTCCAATGATGTGGAAGATCGCCTGGAGAAGGCACCTGCCAGTGAACAAAACTCAAGTCGTCAATCAACTGCTTCTGGAGATACGGAACAACCTCCGGGGTTGGGCCCGACACCGAAACGCAGAGGTCCACCCGGTTTGGTGGGAACCCCTTTCGGTTGGTGAAGGGGCCTGGATTCGGGGGGGTGGCTCGATGTATTGCAGTTGGGTTTCATCGACACGAACGCCTCATGGCAGGTTAGGCATGTCTCATGTCCTCAAGCAAAAAGAAACAAATACTCATAGGTTCACCAGGTCTTGCATCAATCGGTCTTGCATTTCATGAAACGAGAAAGCCTAGATCTCGTGGCCAATCTGAGGAGCTTTGACCCAGCATATACTGTACATGCAAACCACCTTAGCCTGATTGCCTACATGTCCAAAAGTGTCATCTTGTTGCAAGAGATTGCGTTTTGACAAACACTGCCCGCATGCTATATAGTATGTCCAGGTATGTCCATGCATACATCCACCAGGCAACAAAACATGTAAACATGTAATTATGTGTCGAATCATACGAGTCATATGTTTGATCTCACAAAGGAAGGTCCAGGTGTGTTCCAGAGCGAGAACCAATACATCCCGACATCTCTATGTTTGGCAAATGTATACAAATACCCCACTTGACCCGACTACAACGTGTAAACGTCAATGTCATAAACGTAACCGCTGGTCCAGGTGCAGGAATGAGAGCACCGGGAGACCACACCGAAGACCGCGCTTCGTGTGCACAGACTCCACCAGCTTGGTCGAGACGCTGCTCTTCATGGCTACACTGCACCGGCGCGACGCTCGCGCGGAGCGGATGGCCTG